GTGAAAAAGTCCTAAACTATAATAAAAAAAATCCGGCTTAATCCTAATAGAATTCTCTCAGATAATTCGGGAACATTAAGGTTAAGGTTGGGAGTGTTATGCCATGTTGGAATTTCAAATCTTTAACTCAAATAGAAGTGCTCGAATATACATCTACAGTTCATAAAACAGACCTTAATTTCGTCCAGCTTCACGAATACAGCCCCAAATAAAAAAATATCTTATTTGCTTTATGGTCATTGCTTCAAGAGCCATATGTCATACAACAAAAATAAACATCTATAAATAAAAAAATGTAATTTAACAGTCTGCATCCTTAAAAAAAATAATAAAACACGCCACACCTTGGTTACGTTACAGCACTCTTTGGCTACGTCACAACACTCTTTGGCTACGTCACAACACTCTTTGTCTACTTCACAACACTCTTTGGCTACGTCACAACACTCTTTGGCTACGTCACAACACTCTTTGGCTACATCACAACCCTCATCAGTTCTACGAAATTTATCATTTGTCTCTATCCTGATGGTGATTTTCCAAGCGCAACTTAGATGTGACACAAGGCCGAAAATGTAAGGCACCCAGTGAGAATCGAACTCACTATTTAGTAGCAATTGATCCCTTTATATCCAGAATCCCGCATATCCGGAAATGATTTTCTTGTGTATATTTGAACTGTTTGGGTGATATGTAACTGATTTAAAATTTCTGTTTTACAGGAAATTTACTTGGGATAATTGCTTATGCTTATTTCTCCCTAATGGCTTGTATTGGTGCAAAATATGATGGGAATAAGAGGAAAAGAACAACTTTGGAGTTATCACAAAAAGTGGAAATTTTAAACAGACTAGACGCTTGTGAAAGTTCATTGTAACTAATGGCTGAGTTCAACATAGGAAAGTCAACATTGTATGATATAAAATCTCCCAAAGAAGCTATTCTCCAGCGTTCATACTGTCACAATGAACAAGGAAATAAAACCACGATTGTGATGAAGCCTGGACTGAAATTGAAAAAGCTATTGTAAAGATTGTCAGTTTTATGGAAGGAAGCCAGCATTCAGGTATGATGATTGCAATAACGCACGCAGAGTTAAAAAGTGTATTGCGTTTAACAGATTTCAAGAACAAATGCAAAACGCAATGCGAAAAATTTGAGAATGATATTAGAAGAGAATCATCATGCAACAGCGATTAAAAACATCCCCGTTACATTATTTTTTCTGCAAACGTGCCATACTTAATTTAACGGATTTTCATTAACATAACATAATTTATTTCTTTTTCCTTAAAATCAGTTCCGTTACATTTCACTCACCAGCTTATTTTGTTTACTATAAAATACTGAAAAAATGTTAAACCAGATTTCAGTTCTTTTATTTTAATCTAAATATAACCCCTCATATCCGGACTTTGTAACCAATTCCTCATATCCGTCTTAGTTCAATCGGCCTTTTTTTAGTCCGATTGTCAGTTATTCTACTATATATATATATATATATATATATATATATATATATATATATATATATATATAAATTCATAATCATTCATACAAAAACAAATATAAAGGTTAATGATGAAAATGACGAGAATACATCTTCAAAACAATATAAATAAGATACACCAACCCCGAACCTGTATATGAATGATATGATCCCGTTTATAAATTCCAGTTGCATAAGGTCTTTTAATTTTTTAAGAACTTGTCTGTTCCTACAGACATCATCAGGTATGGAAGTAGATTTTGTTCTTGTTTTTACTTCTCAGTAAATAAGAGAGGACAACGAAAATAGAGATGTAATCCGAAAAATGCTATGAGAAATGTGTTATTGTTTTGGAAACGTGCGGTCGCAACGCTGAGTTTGAATTTAAATTTTTAGGTTGTGCGTTTTTGTACAAAATATATAGCAATAAGAGAATTCTTTTTTACTGGTAGATTTTCCGTGAATATGGCATGAACTGTATTGTTCAAACAATTACAGTAATGTCACACTTATTATCCGAGAGTTGCATATCAGTTATTTTAATTTCAATTAAAAGGTGCAAATATAATTTATAAATTCATGAATCATTCATACAAAAAACAAATATATGTATGTATGTATGTATGTATGTATGTATTTATCTGTGCGTGTGTGTCTGTGATTAGGCTAACAAGGTGGAAACTAGTGGATGCAGCTCATGGTGACTTAAATTGACATAAAGAACCAAGAGTAAAATCAATGAAGAGATTTCGAATATCGGCCGACGGTAGAATTACGTATCCACATCTCTCTGCTCTTGTGTCAGGGTTGACGACTAGAAGGATGAAATACCGTTTACAATGTCTCGTGTTTCCAAGCGGCCGACCACCTTAAGTACTGATCAGCTGTCTAAATATTGATCAGGTCGAACGCAACGAAAAAGTTCTCAGCCCGATCCAATTCCTTAAATCTACCAAAGATCGGAATTTTCGAATGAAGGATTTCTGGTCAAACAGAAGAACTGTCATGCATATAGATGAGTTTTTATTTTTTTTTAAACTTTTCACAGGAATCCATACATTCTATGAGTTTATATGCTTGGTTGTTTAGAAATGTATGTTTCGGTGGTGTAATGTTTAGGAGCTCGGAATGAGAAATCTTAGAGCTGGGTTCGAGTTCTAGTTGAATCTGTTGCATTCGCTTATGTGCACATATTGTTGAGGAAGACTAATAATACATCTCTTCTACCCCCCCACCATCTATAGGTCAAGTAGCAGGGTTCTCTACCCGTGGTTGGCAAACAGTATAGAAGAGTCTCCGAATTCAAAACCGAATGAGGCCCAATCACGTTTTGCCTTCTGGCAAGGCATAGCGCGCCCGGTAGCCACTCCTCCCTGGGTGACGCTGAAGATATTGACAGCAGGATGTTGGATGCGATCAATGGCAGATTCTTACAGCCCAGATTTGTGACATTGAACTGCAGTGGTCCCACGCAAAAAGACATGATCTGGACAATGGGTAACACCTAAGTGATCAGAGTCAGCTCCAAATTGTGGGAACATGTAGAATACCGCCTTGTGTCACCTAATATTTGCGCAATTGAAATATGGTAACATATGAGGGTGCCCCGACGGACAAAGAAGCCACACCAACATCAGTAGTGGTATTCCTTAATATTTAGCCAAATCCGAATCTCTGTGTGCCGTCTACCTTCTGGGCATGGGCGATCACGGCTCTCAACAACTTCCTATCATTTGTGGAGGCACGGTGGAGTAATGAATAGCGGCTTGGATTGAGGAATCGGAGAGCCGAGTTCGAATTCCAGTCGAATCCATTACATTCACTTACGTGCTAACACCCTTGGGAAAGGTGTGAATCCTCTTTCTTTTCCCTCCAGCTATGGGTAAATAGCAGGGCAGACTGGGTTCTATAGCCTTGGATGGTAACTGGTCTCGGAGAAGGAAAACTCTGAATTCAAAACCTGCTCTTAGAGGAGGGTGAATGGAGTCTCTCTGAGCCTTGGTTGGCAATCCATTTAGTGATGGTGTTACGATAAAAAAACACCCTTGATAGCCCTAGCGAAGCATCAAGAAATCAGCTATTTGACAAGATTATGAACTACACCAATCAAAGTATTGGTGTGTTCAATCTCGGCTGAGGCCGCAAGATGATGATGATGATCATTTGTAGCTTTTAATAACTTATCTTTATGCCAGCTCTTTCAAAACCTGTTCAAACCCATTCGTTTAAGTTCCTCATCTTATCTTCAATCTGCCTTATGTGTGTCACATTTTCCGAGCTCTCTTGCTTCAGTAAGGGCCCAAGAAATTTCAAGTGTCTCTTAGTGATGTTAAGCATCAATGTCCTTTTTGTTACCATGGTCTCCAGAACTTCGTCATTAATCACATGCTCGGTCTATAGTATTCTCAACATCCTTCTGTAGGACCACATTTCTGTTGCTTCAAGTCTCTTTTTCATCCGTGAAGTGATTTGTCCAGCATTCACTGCATTATAGAAGGACAGATATTACGTAACCGTTCAATACTTTTTTTCTTTATTTCCCATGAAATTTTCTTGTTTTTCATACTAATATTTTCATTAGCTTTTTCGTTACAGCCATGTTCAATCCATGGTATTCTCAGCATCCTTCTGTAGGACCATATTTCTGTTGCTTCAAGTCTCTTTTTCATCTGCCAGGAGACAGATTATTATTATTACTTTTCTTGATAGCCAATGAGAGTTCTTGTTTTAGTGGTAAGGCTAACTCATAACACAATCGGTTTTTCTTAAGGTTTGTCTTTTTACGGTCCCTCCAAACTCTCTGTTCTACGAGCCATTTACGCCATCTTATTTCACCACACCCCTTCAGATTTTAATGTGTCTTATATTTCCAAGCCCGCTTTCCTCATTATGTGTACTAGAAATTTCAACATAGTCTTTCTGATTATAAGTACAAGCGTCCACTTTCCATTTTTCTTGAAACGCACACGTTGCTTAAATGTTCACTCTGCGGTAATTCTCAGCATCTTTCTATAGAACCACATTTCTGCTGCCCCCATTTTCTTCTTCCTGTGTGAGAAAATTACCAGCATTCATTGCCATATAGGAAGATTGATATTACTTGTTAGTTAAGCTAACTTTCGTTTCTCTCTAATCAATGTTTCCCTTAACTTAATATTCTGCTTAGCTTTTGGAAAACATCTCATTTTATGGTCTCTTTTCCCGAACTTGCTTGATTTTAGAATCTCAGATTCGTAGCTCACATATCATATTGAAACACCAGATCTCGTACGATCAAGTTAAGCAATGTTTAAACATGCCAGTACCTGGATGGTTGACCGCTTGGGTATCCCAGGTACTGTAAGTTTGGATATGCGGGCGGTATGGCTTACAGATATATCACGTTGAAACAACGGTTCTCGTACGATCATCGAGGTTAAACAATGTCGAACTTGGTCAATACCTAGATGGGTGACCGCTTGGAAATACCAGCTGCTGTAAGCTTGTCTATGCGGGCGGTATGGTTTACAGACATATCACATTGAAACAACGGTCCTCGTACGACCATCGAAGTTAAGCAATGTCGAACCTGGTCAGTACCTAGATGGGTGACCGATTGGAAATATCAGGTGCTGCAAGTTTGGTTGAGCAGGTGGGGTAACGAATAATGGCTTGGAATTTGAAATCGAAGAGCCGAGGTCCAATTCAAGTTGGGTTCGTTATATTCACTTAGACGCAAATAACTTTGGTAAAGAATCCACCTCTTCTCCCCAAGTTATGGGTTAATTAGTAATACTGGTATCGGTAAAAGTATTATTATCTAAAAAAAGAAAAAGAAGATTAGGTAGAGAATATTTAAATTTCGGCATTAAGTAACCCATAGAAGTGTTGATATGCCGCTAAACAAAAAAAATGAATGAGTATAAGTTCATTAAACCTTATGTAGCTTTCTTCTTCTTCTTCTTTGTACCGTCTCCCTTCAGGACGTAGGCGATCATGGCTCTCCACAATTTCCTGTCCTTCGTAGTTCTTATTAAATTTTTTTTTTTTTTTATCTCTCTTAAAACTTCTTCCGCCATCCATTTACTGAAGCTGTCTAGGTTGTTTATGCGTTGATTTCATCTTTCCCTCTTGCCTTCAATCTGTCCTGTGAGTATCAGATTCTCTAAGCCCGCTTATTAATTTTTAATATACGTGGACATCGTATCGCAGCCTAATGGTCAGAATGCAGGCTTTGTATATTATTAGAAGAGAGTTTGAAAATCACTAGGTTTTACAGACGTTGGCCTTGTGCCAGAACAAAATTACGCTCAACAAATCGCAGTTTATTAATATATATATATATATATATATATATATATATATATATATATATATATATATATATTTGAATTTGCCGCCTAGCTATACCAAATCCATTAACGTGATACGACGCGTGCAGCACGAACAAACACTTCAAGGGTTTTCATTGGACAGGAAGAAGATAAGCTAACACGATTACCAAGCGATAACGATGTTTGAGTATTTCGTGAGATTTGTAAAATGAGAAGGCGTGAAAATCGTAAAAAAAAAAATAAAGCCATAACAAAAAATAAAGAAAAGGAAAAAAAACAAAAAACGACTTGGATACCTGCAACGTTTTGCTGATTTTCCAGTGCGTACGTATGTAAGAATTCAAAAGAAGACGGGGATTCAGACGTGGGATGGGTGGGAGTGGCATTTTGTAATTGGCGAGAAAAATGGCTAAAAAAAAAAAAAAAAAAAGATGGTAAAGAGAAAAAAAAAATATTCGGGTAGAACTTAGTTGACAGTGAGGATTAATTATTATCTTTATATTCGGAGGGATCGGATTAGTGTATGTAGCAACGCAGAAAAGAGATTAGGAGAATTAAATTTGCATTTCAGCAATACGCGCATCCTACGAGTTATAATGAAGAATCCATTGCAATAACGACAGTAATTATCGCAGAGAGAGTACTGAACGCATAAAAACGAGTATATATATATATATATATATATATATATATATGTACATATATATATATAAATACATACATATATATATATATATATATATATATATATATATATATATATATATATATATACTTCTACAAACAATTAATTTTTTTTCTCGTGATGATGGCTATGCAGGCTGAAACTAGACGAAGAATCTAATTGAAATAATAAAACAGAAAAATATTAATATACAACCCAGTGTGTCTGAAAATCTTAATTTTTAATATTTTTTTATTGTTCAAAACATATATATATATATATATATATATATATATATATATATATAATGTGTGTGTGTGTGTGTGTGTATGTGTATCAGTGGTGTTTCATGAAGCATATGATGAGCAAGCAGATAATAACACTCTTATAATCAAAAACGAAAATTGATGATTTTCACAAATGTAACAAATAATACTTACCATTTTAAGTATAGCTCTGTAGAATACGTCTTGTCTTACGAGCAAAACGATCAGGAAATTTGCTAAAGAAATCTCTCGTTGATCTATAGCCGGTGCTAATGTCTGCTGGAGTATAGCGGCCGGCTGACATTAGCCTTTTACCAGATTTTCTCTCTGTTTCGTCTGATCTCTTTATTACTTAAAAGAAAGACTGCAAGTGAAATTTAGCACATAAGAAGTACAGACCTTCAAAACAAATGTTTGCTTCGTCATACACAGAAATGAGTTCAACCACAATTTCGGTCTAAAGAATACAACACTTATTAAAAGGGAAAGTACATACTTTACGGGAAATTCTTGAGAGTGCTGTTATCGAATCTTAACAAAATATAGATCTGCGGATTTGTTCTAATGTCCGCTTTCCTTATGGAAGTACAGAGTGCGATGGATAAATTGTCGTCTGAATTCCGCAAAAATGAAAATAGGATTGACATCTCATTTTAACAGACGTAATTACCAAAATTATACAAAAACATCAATATTCAATTTAATAAAATCGCCATTGGCTTTAACTAATGCCCCCAGACGACTTCGGAATCTCCTGCAACTCTTCTGAACGGTCTCCTTGTTTAAGTTGTCATAATCCTTGCCTTCAGTTCATCTTTGGTGTTACAAGGAGTTTTGTTGATCTCTCGCTCAATTGCACCCCACACATAATAATCAGGGGAGTTGCAGTCTGGGGAGTTAGCTGGCCATATATAAAGTGGATGTGGTCGCAGAAATTGTTTGACTGCCATGACGGGTTTTCTGCTTGTATGTCATGGTGCAGAGTCTTGTTGCCAGATATATGTTCTTCCAGCAGCTATCCTCTTGACAGAGGGCAGCACTAACCTTCTCAACACAATTGATGTAGGACTCCGTGTAGAGTCTGAGGCCCTGTGAGAAGATGAATGAATGTATAACGGCGCAATCACTAGTGATCACTCCAAACACCGTGATGTTGACTAGATATATCATCTATCTCTTTCAGAATCCTCTGCACCGTCCTCAGATTGGTATCCAAACACACTTAAATGTTCGTATTGGAGCTTCAGGCGCGTATGCCAAGTAGTACACCATGATGTTTTCAAATGGGTCAATTGCGTCATGGAATTCTTTTCCTCACAGAAGGAACCCAACTGAGTCTACTATACTGTGCAGTCGTCAAAAACAATGCGCATGCGCGAAATTAAAAATATAAAATGGCCACAATAAATAGCCAACATACATGACTAAAGCAATTTAAATAATTTACATGAAAACGTTTAAATTCAAAACCTAAAAAATATAAATGTAAAATTGCATTATAAAATTTTGTATTACTGCTTTTAAACTACAAATTTCCCATGATTTCTCTCGGACGTTCATATTTGCTCGAAGCGTATCCTAACGTAAACAAATAGCATTATATATTATGAAATGGACTAAATCCGACAATTGTTTCAATATTTGTCTTTATACGTTATTTGATAGATACAAGCATTTTATTAAATGCTCTGTATATATTAAAGAGTATTAACAAAATTTACCTTTATGAGATTACTTATAAACAGACCATTCACTTAATTATTTCTATCTATAAAAATAATGTATAAAAAATAAATATATTAAAATAAATGTTGGACTTAATCCATTTCATAAAAGCAGAAAAATCGACCTTGCTAACCACACGCTTCCTTAGTAGCATAATTTACCTTGCCTCTCAGCCTGAAGTGTTCTTACTTTAAAAAAAAAATATTCTTTAAAACTAACCGTTTTACTTCTGTGCATCAGTACTTGATGCGAAATAAGATCTTTACATTTGATTTGATATATATATATATATATATATGTATATATATATATGTATATATATGTATATATATATATATATATATATGTGTGTGTATATATATATATATATATATATATATATATATATATATATATATATATATATGTGTGTGTATATATATATGTGTGTGTATATATATATATATATATATATATATATATATATATATATATATATCTTCATTCAAGTATATTGTCATTCAAGCATGTTTCATTGAATAATATAGATATATTATGTCCGTTTTTATAATAATTCTTTCTAGTCCTCTCATCAGTTTTATGATGTTAAGTTGAAATACATCAAGAAAGGCACCTTGGTTTTTTTTCCTACCCATGTACTTTCGGTCTATTCAAAGATCGTCCTCATGGGTAAATTGCAAAGACAAACTGTGATCGTTGTGATGGTGATTTAAAAACAAACACGTGGGAACTCGCTCTGTTATAATTATTTTAATATTTGAAATTTTGCCGTTGTAGCTATGGAAATTTTTTTCAGAACAAGCGTCCCAATATAAGTGAGTTAACCAGAATTTGGCGAAATGCAAAATGGCTTATGTTAAATGCACTTCAACAAGTTGCTGCTGCACTCGTAATAAATTGTGTTTAGTATCGGTCGGTTACGTTTGATATGAAAGGAATCGGGAATTTGAAGATTTTGTTTATCTTCGTGGTGTAGTATATTGGTGTTGTCAACAAAAAGTTCCTGTACTGTGAAGGTGGACAAGAATGCGTTTTATATGTTGTGCAATAGAACTTGTATCCGACAAATGATGCATAGGACCTATATGAGGATATGATGGTACCTGCTCTGTAGGGAAAATTAACGGTAATATATGCCTTCAGAATATTGTTCGATTTTGTGTGTTTCCTTGTATTTTGTGTGTTTTGAGCGTGTGTGTATGTCTGTGTCTGTGTGTGTACGTGTATCAATAATTTTTTTCCTCTATACCCAGTAAAGTAAGGCTTGTTTGCATCCATTCTAATATTTATCAAATCAGTTTTAATAAAAAAAAAGCTGAAGTCCTATCGCTAGTGTTCCGTATTTGGGGTCCAATTTCAAGTCTAGGGTTTCAAATGCACATATTCAAGAGTGGCAAGTCCGCCTCAGTTTTAAATTGTATTTCCTGCGCTGTTACAATTTGATGCAAAACTTCCCAAAGCCGTGATTTATATAGGTTTAGGGAAATCTTAGAAATGTTGAATTTTACCCGTTTTTTTTTTATACTTCTTTTTTTTTCTGCTGTGCAATTAGGCAAATAAAATTCGTCTGTATATATGACTTTTTATATAAAAAACCGAAACTTGAAAAATAGGTTCTACATAAGTTTGCTATTAGTTTTCTATTTTAGT